AATAATTTAAATAATTTAAATCCTGGAGGGGGGGGGGCCGGGCCTCCTCCCGCAGGAGGAATTAAATAATTTAAATATGAAGGCCCCGAATTAAATATTCATATTTAATTCGGGGCCTTCATATTTAAATTATTTAATTCTTCCTGCGGGAGGAGGCCCGCCCCCCCCCTCCAGGATTTAAATTATTTAAATTATTTAAATTATTTAAATTATTTAAATTATTTAATTCCCGGGCCCGAATTAAATAATTTAAATATGAAGCTCCCGAATTAAATAGTCATATTTAAATCGTGGCCTTCATATTTAAATTATTTAAATCGGGCCCGGGAATTAAATAATTTAAATAATTTAAATAATTTAAATATTTTAAATCCTGGAGGGGGGGGGGCGGGCCTCCTCCCGCAGGAAGAATTAAATAATTCAAATATGAAGGCCCCGAATTAAATATTAATATTTATTTCGGAGCCTTCATATTTAAATTATTTAATTCTTCCTGCGGGAGGAGGCCCGCCCCCCCCCCTCCAGGATTTAAATTATTTAACTTATTTAAATTATTTAATTCCCGGGCCCGAATTAAATAATTTAAATATGAAGCTCCCGAATTAAATATTCATATTTAAATCGTGGCCTTCATATTTAAATTATTTAAATCGGGCCCGGGAATTAAATAATGTAAATAATTTAAATATTTTAAATAATTTAAACAATTTAAATAATTTAAATATTTTAAGTCCTGGAGGGGGGGGGGCGGGCCTCCTCCCGCAGGAGGAATTAAATAATTTAAATATGAAGGCCCCGAAATAAATATTAATATTTAATTCGGAGCCTTCATATTTAAATTATTTAATTCTTCCTGCGGGAGGAGGCCCGCCCCCCCCCCCCTCAGGATTTAATTATTTCAATTATGTAATTCCCGGGCCCGAATTAAATAATTTAAATATGAAGCTCCCGAATTAAATATTCATATTCAAATCGTGGCCTTCATATTTAAATTATTTAAATCGGGCCCGGGAATTAAATAATTTAAATAATTTAAATATTTTAAATCCTGGAGGGGGGGGGGCGGGCCTCCTCCCGCAGGAAGAATTAAATAATTTAAATATGAAGGCTCCGAATTAAATATTAATATTTAATTCGGGGCCTTCATATTTAAATTATTTAATTCCTCCTGCGGGAGGAGGCCCGCCCCCCCCCCTCCAGGATTTAAATTATTTAAATTATTTAAATTATTTAAATTATTTAATTCCCGGGCCCGAATTAAATAATTTAAATATGAAGCTCCAGAATTTAATATTCATATTTAAATCGGGGCCTTCATATTTAATTCAGGCCTGGGACCCCCCCTAGGACCTAAAATAGGGTCTATTTGGAAGTTGGCTCTTGTAAATAAGTATACGTTTTGGGGCCTTTTTTCCTCTTGTGAACACGAGTGCCAGCTTCCAAATAAACCCTATTTAAGCTGCACACCCCCCGCCCCCCCCGCTCCCCCCGCTCCCCCCGCCCTTCCCACCCCCGCCGAGCCCTCCTTTCGCTGCCCCTTCCGCTGCCTTGCTGCGTGTTTTAAGGGCTCCAGTGCATGCCCCACTCCTGCCCACCCCTCCCGCTGCCTTGCTGTTAGAATGAAGTGTTTTTAAGGGCTCCAGTGCATGCCCAAGCCCTGCCCCCGCCCCCCCCGCCCCCCCCGCCCCCCCCGCTCCCCCGCTCCCCCCGCCCTTCCCACCCCCGCCGACCCCCTCCGCTGCCTTGCTGTCACACTGGCGTGTTTTAAGGGCTCCAGTGCATGCCCCACTCCTGCCCACCCCTCCCGCTGCCTTGCTGTTAGAATGAAGTGTTTTTAAGGGCTCCAGTGCATGCCCGAGCCCTCCCTTCGCTGCCCCCGCCCCCCCTGCCCCCCCCGCCCCCCCCGCTCCCCCCGCTCCCCCCGCCCTTCTCACCCCCGCCGACCCCCTCCGCTGCCTGCTGTCAGACTGGCGTGTTTTAAGGGCTCCAGTGCATGCCCCACTCCTGCCCACCACTCCCGCTGCCTTGCTGTTAGAATGGAGTGTTTTCAGACTGGCGTGTTTAATGGCTCCAGCGCATGCCCCACTCCTGCCCACCCCTCCCGCTGCCTTGCTGTTAGAATGGAGTGTTTTTAAGGGCTTAAGTGCATGCCCGAGCCCTCCCTTCGCTGCCCCCGGCCCCCCCGCCCCCCCCGCTCCCCCCGCTCCCCCCGCCCTTCCCACCCCCGCCGAGCTGCCTTGCTGTCAGACTGGCGTGTTTTAAGGGCTCCAGTGCATGCCCCACTCCTGCCCACCCCTCCCGCTGCCTTGGGCTCCAGTGCATGCCCGAGCCCTCCCTTCGCTGCCCCCGCCCCCCCCCCGGCCCCTGCCCTTCCCACCCCCGCCGACCCCCTCCGCTGCCTTGCTGTCAGACTGGCGTGTTTTAAGGGGTTTAGTGCATGCCCCACTCCTGCCCACCCCTCCCGCTGCCTTGCTGTTAGAATGGAGTGTTTTTAAGGGCTCCAGTGCATGCCCGAGCCCTCCCTTCGCTGCCCCGCCCCCCCCGCCCCCCCCGCTCCCCCCGCTCCCCCCGCCCTTCCCACCCCCGCCGACCCCCTCCGCTGCCTTGCTGTCAGACTGGCGTGTTTTAAGGGCTCCAGCGCATGCCCCACTCCTGCCCACCCCTTGCTGTTAGAATGGAGTGTTTTCAAGGGCTCCAGTGCATGCCCGAGCCCTCCCTTCGCTGCCCCCGCCCCCCCCGCCCCCCCCGCTGCCCCCGCTCCCCCCGCCCTTCCCACCCCCGCCGACCCCCTCCGCTGCCTTGCTGTCAAACTGGCGTGTTTTAAGGGCTCCAGTGCATGCCCCACTCCTGCCCACCCCTCCCGCTGCCTTGCTGTTAGAATGGAGTGTTTTAAGGGCTCCAGTGCATGCCCGAGCCCTCCCTTCGCTGCCCCCGCCCCCCCCGCCCCCCCCGCTCCCCCCGCTCCCCCCCCGACCCCCTCCGCTGCCTTGCTGTCAGACTGGCGTGTTTTAAGGGGTTTAGTGCATGCCCCACTCCTGCCCACCCCTCCCGCTGCCTTTG